GCACCTGTTTTGTATAGCACTAATGTGAAAAGATTTAACTTGCAGTACAAATTCGTATTTTTTCCAAGAGGTTAAAAACAACTATTACTTTAGCATGTAAGCATTATAGATAAAAATCCTTTAGAAAAGTCAGTGATCACAAACAATCAAGTGGATAAAGGAGAAATCTCAAATGTATAAGAAAAAATAAAAAGTATTTACAAGGTATTAGAAACTATTAACATTTTAGCATATAAAACTGGTGAATGAATACAGCAAAATGAATAATTTGAGATTAGCATTAATCAGCTAAAGTTTTTAAATGCACAACTAACTACGCATATGGTTTAATCCACATATGCTGCAAAATAAGGATTTGGGATTCTAATTTTGTTCTCAAAGTGGAGAAGTACTGAAACTTCATTTGAATTGTTTTTAATTTATCTTCCAGCTGTTTCCTATAATATAAAGGGTTAGAGCAAGTTCTAAAGCTTTATTGTATGTAAAAACTGAGTGCTCAAACCATCAGTTCTGACTTCCCACTGAAACAGTTATCAAACTTCAAATACTTATTTTGTTTCTGAGTTTTTAAACTTGAAAGTAAATGGCTATTGGTTTTGCTTATTTTTATTTCTTTTTATTGTAAAATTTTCAAAATATGGCAAAGTTGAAAGAATATAATGAATATCAATATAACCTTCATAATTGTGTGTGAATATATATACATGTATAGCAAACTAAATGTTGCAGCATTCCTGAGAATAAGAATCTCCTATAGAACCACAATACCACTATCACCCCTAAAAATCCCAATTCCCAGGCTATAACCTAGATAAATTAAATGAAAATCTCTGAAAGAAGAGTTTAGGTAATCAGTGCTTTTTGAAGCTCCAACTGATTACAATATGCAACAAAGGTCAAGAACCACTGTCTAAAAATTGATTAAATTGAATTTAAACATTTTCAAGAAAGAATACATTGATTTTATGTTTTAATATGAAAACGAATTTACTAGTCTTTTAAAGGTTAGCAATTCTAAATTATAGATTTTAGGTCAGAGTTTCACAATAATTTACATTTTCTTAAGTTTTTCTTATCAAGTTAATATAATTTTCTTTTTTATTTTTTATTCATTTCAGTTTATTATGATTTAAAATGCAGAAAATATGTATTGCTATGTAGATTCTAAATATATTTATCTCTAAAGTGAAATGGATTTAAATAAAAATTATATTTATACATATGTTAATAAAATATTTAATAAATCAAATATGAATCTTAGCATATAAAACATAAAGCTTTTTCATAACCTTCCCAATAATCAAATTTCATATTTGTGATAATAAAAGGTCCAGAAAGCAAAAATCAAAATCTAAACTTCATGTTAACATTTTAATAGATGATGTCTTTCACATGTTAAAAATCTTTCTTACAACAAAGCATTATCCATAGTGAGTAGAAATAATTTTGACTAATAACAAAATATTCCTATATTGTATTATAGTTTTCCTTGTAGGGTTAATGTTAGCAGTAGCCTAAATATGTTTCTAAAATTCTTAAAGACTGTTAATTACTAGTTTATGGCTTCTACCTATGACATTGTTGTACCCAAGAAAATAAGGTATTAAGCATTTAGAAATAGCCCTTAGATATTTGTCTGTTCTTCACTGTTGAGTCAAAGCAAACAATGTGTAAACTGGTTATTTTTAGTAAATAAATTTAAAAAGTTCGAAGTGAGATAAAATATATGTTTTAGACTGGAGTAAAAGTCACAAGATCTAGATTCTAGGCTACATTGAACAGGCCACTTTATCCCTTTGGGCTAAAAGGTTCTCACTTGTTAAATAAAGGGGTTAGTTATGTCAAAGGTTCCCAAGCTTCCTCAGTTCATGGCATTCCTAGTATCTCATAATTTTTTCAGGGTGTTGCATGCTAAGAAAAATACCTAACAGTTCCATTTATTAAATAGTTAGGTGCAAACTTATTTTGTATGTCTGTCCTAACAACTTTGTAGCTACTTAAAAAAAACAACACAGATACATTTAACTTTTTTATTTTATTCTTAATGGGATGTGCATATCTGTTGGGCACTTTACAACTTCTCAAAACTTGGAATCAGATTGAAAACCACTATCTGTTCTATAGTAATTTTCCCCCAGTCTTTGTGTTTTATCACAGCAGCTAAATAGATATGACATCATCAAAAGGAAGGGAGTACAATGTAATGTTGAAGTCCTGAACTACCTTTGCATGGTGTCCAATTGATATCACTGCGTTGACCTTGAAATTTTAAAATATCCCATCATGGTGCCCCTGTGAGTTTGTTGTGGTGCTACTGGGATGTCTCATTAACAGTTTGGGAAACACGGACTAGCCTCCCTAAAATACTTGATATAGCTATAATGTGTGATCTAAGATGTAAAAGCAGAGTATGAGTGAAATGGATAATTTTGAGGGCTTGGATTAAGGAGCTGCATAACTGAAGAGATAAAACCATAATAATGTTTAACCTGCATTAAACGTCCTTCCCTCCCCAGGTCACGTATAAAATGCCTACCTGTGCCTCAGAACTCAGCTCAAGCTTCTTCAGGGTAACCCCCCCCCCTTACCAAGCAAATCCACCTATTGAACATTCTCAGAGTAATTATTTCACAGCACTGATCACAGTTGCAATTATACATTTATTTGTGTAACTATTTGATAATTCTTGTCTCTCTTATTAGAATAGGATAAGGATAGGAACTGTGAGAGGATAGGAACATTTCCATAACCCACTGTGTCTAGTATATTATAGGAGTTTAAAACACCTTCCTCAGTGAGATGAATGACTGCACCGACAGAATAGGCTTAGCATTCCTTTTGCTTATTTTTCTTTATTCTAGAACATGCTATCTATAATAGCATTTCTAAAACTTTCTTCTTTTTCTCATATTATTTAGCAGGAAAAAGGAATCCATAGGTATACAACTCCATCTGAAACCTCAGAAGTAAGCTCACCTTAACTAATGAAAAGGATGGTGTTCTTTGGATAAGGCAGTCAAATGTTCATGAACACTTATAGCCAAATTAATTATTATAAGAAAAAAATCATGATACTACAAAAAATTGCTTATAGAAAATTTTAAAATCTTAGCAGATGACCACAAACCACACTTTGAGAACCATGTCCTACAGTGGTGATACAAGAAGTAGAAAGCAATAGTTTCTAGATAGTGGAGAGAAGCAGTTTTTGTTTTGTTTTGTTCTGTTTTGTTTTTTGGTAAATGGCATTAACTGCACAGGCTGGTTTTATTGACTAAGCAAAAATATTAAGGGAAGTTCATGTCGTCACTATTAAAATAAAATGAATTCTGGAAATTTTATTGGTATTCTATTGTAATCTTGGCTGTACAAAGATCCATTACTCAACTAAGACTATGTAACATAAAATAGCATAATATGATTTCTGGAAAATGAAAATAATCCTTAAGTCAAACACAGAAAATAAGGGTATAAAAGTAAGACAAAATAAGTTAGAGAATGATTGTACCAAATAGCTAACAACCTTAAAAAGGGTAGACATTTTTTTAAAAATCACTAAATTAAGATTGGTTCATTTGTACATCCTTTGTCTAAAGAGAAGCTATATAAGATACAGAATCAACAAATTATGTTTTGATAATGAATTTTTCACCCTTAGAGTTTCTATGCTAGGAGGAAATTATTCTTTTACACTTAACACATTTTAGATAGAATGGCTATGAGTGTTCTTATGGAGACAGAGAAATGAAAGAGAAGGTAAAATAGAGATGGTTGACTCTGTGCTCCTGGAATTTCTAATTCATAAACAGCCCTCAGTCCTCCTTCCCCTCAGTTATTATAGAGAACTGCTCCCTCAAACTCTACATACATTTGAATTACTGGGGAGTTCTTGTTAAATTCAGATTCTGACTCAGCAAGGACACTCAAAGACTCTGCATTTCTTATAACACCCTTAAGAAACTGTGGACTACTTTGAAAAACAAAGCATTAGAAGAGCTGTTTCAACTATTTTCCAATCTACTATAGTCCTAATCTCTCATTTACCCTTTTGACATTCATTCCCTTCTGCTTTTACTGTCTTTAATATCTATCATTCCTTTATTGCTCTGTTTTTTTTTACAGTCTCTCTCCCTCCCTCCTTCACCTAATTGCTAAGTATCACCCAATAAAAAACTAAACCAATTTTAAAAACCCTCATTTAACCCTTAAACTGAAAGATGACTTTCACTCCCACTACCTACCATCTGATGTCTCTCCCATTCACAAACTTTTAGAAAGAATTGTCTGCTTGCAGATGCCATTTCTTCATCTCCAACTCAACAGTATACCGACTTCATTGTGACCTGCAGGCCCACCACCCCACCAACATAGGATCCACTGAAGTCATCTATGACCCCATGTTGAGACGACAAAAAACGACATTTTCAGTTTTCATCTAATTGGAACTTCTCAACAGTATAACAGCTCACTACTCCCAACATTTCTGCACACTGTTTTCCATGACACAACAGTACCATTATTCTACTGTCTACCTCAGAGACCAAAAAAAAAAAAGAAAGAAAAGGCCAAGAAAACTGTTGGCCTTCAAGTCTCAACTCAAATGTAGCCTTCTGAAGCTTTCCCAACTAGGGAAATATTCAGTCCAATACCAGCTCACTGTAACTTTTAGCCAAAAGTTTGCTGACCCACTGTCTCTCAAATAGGTGAAGTAAAGTTATGTGGCATATCTTGATATACTTGATATAGTCTAGAGACGAGTTTGCCTATGAGTAATCTGTTGTCACACTTCCTTCCAGAGTGGAAACAGGTCCACAGTAGAACACTCCCCTAGACCTCACGAAGATGGCTACCGGAGGGCGTCGTTACGTGCTACGTCATCACGCGCCGGGATGAAGGTGGGGCCCACAAGGAAGATGGAATGGAATCCAGATGGGCGGGGCCAGCAGGACGGGGCGGGGCCCCGCGGGATCTGGGAGGGGCGGGGCCGGTGAGGGGTCGGGGGCGCTTCTGCTATTCAGCCGGTGCGCGCGGCGGCGGGAGACGGCGTCCGGGGAGTCCTCTCGACGCTCGTTCCTGAGAGCGTGCCCAGGACCGCCGGCTCTGACCAGGGACAGCCGTGTAGGCAAACGGAAGCTGCGGACAGCCGGGACTAGAGGCTGGCGCCCGAGCTCCGCGGGCGGGAAGCACCCAGGATTGGGGAAGCCCCGGGAGCAGCGCGGCGGCGCCTCCGTCACCCAAGGGGCCGCGGCGACGGTCACGGGGCGCGGCGCTAGCGTGCGCGACCCAGGCCAGGATTCCAAACAGGCGGCCCAGGCTCCTCCTCCGCCCGCGCAGCCTCACCTGCGGGCTTTGGCGCACCGCCTCCGCCGGTGTAGACGGCACCTGCGCCGCCGAGCCTGCGGGTCTCCGCCCCTCGCCGCCGCCACCCCCCTGACGGCGCCAGGCCCGGGCGGTTCACCTGGACCGGCGGCGCGGGCTGCGGGAGCCGGAGCGCGGGGTGCACCGCGCCGTCGCCACCACCCGGAGAGGACGCAGGTGGAGCGGGCGCGGCTGCGTGCAACCGGCGCTCCCGCCGCCGTCGTCCCAGCCGCCACCGGGTCCTGGGGACCTCGGCGCCCGCCTCGGGGAGTAGCTGCCGCCGCCGGCTGGGCACCATGAACAGCAGCAGCGCCAACATCACCTACGCCAGTCGCAAGCGGCGGAAGCCGGTGCAGAAAACGTGAGTGTCCGGAGCGCGTCCCCGGCGCGGGGGCTGGGCGCCCAGGCGCGCGGGTGCGGGAGGCTGCCCCACCCCACCCCCAAATCCCCGCGATCCGGGGGATTAGGTCCGTTCCCTACACGGCCCATGGAACCGAGACTTGGAGGCTGGTGGAGAGACTGAGGACTTGGATTTTTCCGGTTCTCAGTTATTGCATTTTAAAAATTGTCCCTCAGTCACCAGCGCACCCGCACCCTCTCTCAAATGCAACTCTGTTCTTTTTTCTTTGGTCGTGATTTGTTGACAGCTCTGATCTGCCTTGTGGTCCTGGTGGATTAGTTAGCATAAACCCGCTTTGCTATCCCCTTCCACTTTTAATAGCCGCATGAGTTAGTTTAGGGGACAGGCTTAATTCTCATTTTTTGTATAGAGTTTGGTAGAGCGAAATGTTTTAGAAGAGCTAGACACATGCCGTCTTGAAGGAAAGGGCTGGGTGTCGCTAAAGGTATTTTGTGGTCTATGGCAACTGCTTACTGTTGCGCTATCTTAATTACTTATTAGGCAGTAATTTTGTAGCGCTCATCGTGACCACGTCGGTGAAGTGGATACAGATGGTAGCAGGTAGGAGTGGGTGTAGTGGACAGGATAAGGTGGAGGAGTTTTTTATTTGCTTAGACACCTTTTTGGGAAGCTTATCACTTTAGGGGTGGCTTTAGGAACTGTAAAATAAATTAGGACTGTATCTGAGAGAGAAATTTTCATTCTTAGCATCTGCCTGTAACTCTTTCCCCTTTACTTCAAAGTTTTGTCAGTTCTGATAGAGTGAGTACGAACTTGTATTTTTGTTTTTTTGTTTGTTTGGGTGGGATATTTGTGTGAGACGGCGAATAGAATAATGTTTTGAGAAAAAAAATCCATGCTTGAGGCAGATTTCCTTTTGTAAGTTGGCAGTATTTATGTGTTTATTACTGATTTTTACTTCTGAGTTACTTCACCTATATTTTTCACATTTTCGTGAACGCTTTTCAGAAGGCTTAAACGTCTGTTCAGAGCAAATCAGAAGTGTGCATTTTGCTTAAAACTTAACCATCACTAATGCAAACTAAAAAAATAACAGCTTAAGAAATACTTAAAACCAATTATTGATTTAAAAGCTTTATTATTCTGGAGTTTAAGAATTTCAGTTACCATAGTTATTCAGATCTAGACTTATGAATTGGCAGTAACAGATGTTCATCTGTACATAGACCATCATTAAAATTTGGAAATCTTATGGTACAGTGTGTCTTACAGGAATATCATCAAATCAGAACTTTTTTTGGCAGTTTGAGAGAGACTTTGATTTACAATACTTTTAATTTTGTAGAATAGTTTCTTATATTAAAATGTGTTTGTATAATTTGATTTTGACTTTGATAGTTAAAATTGGGAAGCATCCCAAATGCCTGTTCTGTGTATTTATTAATACTGTAATACACTTAGCATAATATATGAGTATTATGAGTTTTATGTATATGGTAAGAAAACTTGAAGATCTCTCTAATGTGTTCTTAAGATACTGGGTTTCATTTAGCATGTTTACAGGACCTAGATAGTTTTGTAAACAAAAATAAATGCAGTATGTTATCAAAGGCCTTCCTTTTTAACATATTACATTTTTCTTTTATTTGTATAAGATGTACCTTTTATTATATTATCTTCATTTTTTTATCTTCATATTTTAATGTAGTTCCTTAGACTTTAATGTATTTGTGTTTCATAATTTCTTACAATATAACAAAAGTATTTTCATCATTCATCTGCATTTTATTTAGTTAACATAGGTGTTTATCAGATCTTTTCTGAACACCATGAGTTGCTACTAATCATATAAATGCCTTAAATGTCACCAGCTTGCTCTGCAAGTAAAGCCTAGTGCTGGCATTTGTGTGACCAAGTGAAAGTGTTTATGTAAATTATTTTTACCTGAATGAAAAATGGCTAACTTTATAATGCAGCTTAATCAAAGTTTATTTTAGGAATGAGGTCACTAAACTTTAATGTGAGTTTTTTAGAGCAAACTTCCAGTTTGTAACTGAGACCTAAAATATGCCAGCAGAAATGCATCTTGTTTTGACCTGAAAGTATTACCCAGATATACTTAAATTTGACTCCTTAAATAACAGCTATTTAATTTTACATACAGAGAAAATATACTGTAGCATAATTATAGGACTGTTAAAAAAAGATGCTCGTTTACATATACAATTCCATAACATTTTAGAATAAAATAGGTGACATAATTGTAACCTGAAGCTCTTTCAGTCAATCTTCAATTGAATTTATTAAGCAAAATAAACTCCCTCTAGTGGCAGGTCTCAGAATAAAAATTATCTTTATTAGAGGAAATATATTTTAAATGTGTTAAATTTAACCCCACTAAAGTTATCTTGTACATAGTACACTCTCAATAAACGTTTCCTTTCTCTTTGGAGTAATGAAAGCTAGGAAATTAAAGAATCAGAAGCAACCTGATGTCCGTCCATGTTCCTTTCTTCAAGAAGAAAATTTCAAAGATAACCTTCAGAATAAAATCCAGTATCACTTCCCTAGGAATGTTGCTCCATAGTTAGTAACCCTGCTCAAAAAAAGAACAAATATTTTCTACTTAAATTCTGTTCTTTTTATTTTATTTTCTTTGGAGATGAAAGCATTTCTGTTATTTTATCTCGCGAAGATAGTTGCAAAGCCCACTATAAAAGTTTAGATGAATCTATTTTTCTCTAGTGATACTAACTTTGGATACATTTTTGTATTTTCAAAGTTGTATTAATACGGAAAAAGTTTTGTATTGCAATTTACCGTATTTGTAGAAAGTTAGTACTGAATGTCAGCAAATAATAGGTGTTGCATAAAAGACTTATATACTAAAAAATGATACCAGCAGTAGTGCTCATTAAGCCAGACATCATGAAATGTCAGAACTCAATATAACTTCTGACCCTAAACTGTTGGGTTAAAATGCATACTGATGCAAGCTTTTACTTTATTAGCATAGTAATCATATTAATAACAAAATCATTGTCTTTTTCTTACTAAATAGTTGTTCATTCTATTTAAACGTCATGAACCTTGTTTTTATAATACCTACTTAACCGAATTTTATTGCTTATATTACATAGTGCTTATTAAATATTTCATATAAATATATGATGCCGTTTTCTAAATAGCATCTAAAATAAAAAGTCTTTTCATTTATATAATTATTTCTCCATCATCATTTTTGTCTCAAGTAACTTTATTTAGATAGCTGATGCATAGTGGCTATGGACGCACTTGCACATTTGAACAAATGGAGTGAGTGAAAATATTTAGTTATAGATAACATTAAATGGCAAAAAGAGGAAAGAGGTATAATTGAGAGCACTGGATCTAAACTTAAAACTGAGGTCTACTTTCCATTCTGTTGTGGATCTGGGCAAGTTTCTTGATCAATAAAGCATGGCAGTTAACACCTACGCTACCACTCTCACAACTAAAACTAGCAAAATAAAAGCATTTTATAACCGTAAAGACTGCTAAAGATATAACCAAAACAAACGCATACTGTTCTTTAAATAATTTTACCTTACATTATCACAGAACAATCAATTCCCCTTTGAAACAGTAAGAGGCAGTATGTGATTATGTTCTCAATTACAGATACAGCTGAAATGTGCTACTTCACTGGTGAATAAACTTGGAAAGTACATGCTTATTCATGTATTTAATTGAGACAGTTACTCAGAAATAAATACCATACAAATCTTCAACAACAGAACCTTTCTACTTTGGCACTTATTTAAAATTGGTTTTTTGCAGAGTAGTTTAATACAACAGAAAACTGTTTATTAGCACTTACTGTGATACGAGTGTTCTGCACAGTGCTTTGCATACATTTATTTCATTTTTATAGTAGTACTAAGGAAAGGTAATATTGTTTAATTTTATAGGTAGGGAACTGCAGTTCAGATTCAAAATTGCTCAGGTAGTAAATGAAAAAGCAGAGTTTGGATATTGGAGCCCAGGTCTTTTGACTTCAAAGCTTATCTTCTTACTGACTTCACAGTACTGTCCAGGTGAATAAATTCAGTGATGCATAATGGTACTGCCATATCCTAGGGATCTTCTATCATCTGCTGTTTCTCCTCAAATAGTTAGTGTTGTGACCGAAATAAATTATCTGCCATTTCCCATACGTGATTTGTCCTTGCTCATCACCACACTTTTATTCATGTCCTTTCCTCTTAGAGCCTTTTCTCCTATCTTACTGATTTACTACCTACCTCCCCCCTTTAAAACATTGTTTTAAGGGCTCTATAGTACTCTGTTGTGTTAATAGTCTATAATTTATTTAACTATTGTCGTTTAGGGGAAATTTTTGTTATTTTCTACCATTCCGTATTTTAACTAGTATTTCAGAGAATATCCTTGAGACATGTAAATTTTTATGTGGTTTATTTCCTTAGGAAAAATTCCTGTAAGTGGAATTTGGGGGTAGAAAAATATGTACATTTTTAAGCCTGAGCCAAATATTACACTCTGGGAATAGTGTCAAATTACTGTACAAAAATTGCTAATTACATTTCCATCATTAGTCTGTGGGTGTACCTATATCCTTGCATTTTCGCTTAAAAAATGTTATCAGCTTCATAGGCAAAAAAAGGTGAGGTAGATAATTTATATGTTGGGATTTATGGTTGTGTGTGGTAGTAGGAGTATGTGTATTTGCAGATTTTCTACTTGAGGTGTTCTTTACATATTCATTTGTTTTGTCTTATATTTTTCAGTTTTTAGTTTGTTCTTTTTGCTTTTTTAATTAAAACATTATTTAAAAATATATTCCTATTAAATAATGCATGCATATTTAAAAAGCCAATACATGGTGCATCTTAAGTATGGCATGTAAGGTATTATCTTTCATTGCCTTATTGTGGTAGATAAGGATTTTTGTACTCTTTGAGCTCTGCTTAACCTTTTTCACCTTTCAGCTTTCACCTGCT